CTGGCCCTCAGCCGGGGTCAACCCACCACAGCATCACAACTCAAAGGGAAGGAAGGGTGTCTGGAAATGGCAAGATCCGTGATTACTCAGTATCACTCGTGGTCTTGTCATATGAAACCTGTCTAAGCCTCTTACAAGCTTCAAATGAAAACATGGTTTTTAGGAGACTGCTGCAAATCTGTTTATTTTTTCATGTTCTTTGAAAAAAATTATTTTACTGTAATGCATATGTATTTCTTTTCATCCACAGCAATTCTATATTCACTTTTGTATCCTCCTTTGCTATTTAAAATCATGGAATTATTTTTATCCCCACTTTAGAGATGGGGAACTGATGTCCCGCTAGACACGCTCCAGTTTGCAGTTGGTTGCCAACTGGCAGCATTACATAGGGATTTCCTCAATCTCCGTCCAGTGCAGGAACCACAAGAGCTTCCATTTGCAAGTGACTTTTAGCTTTCCCCCAACCATAGCAAACCTGCTCCCAAAAGGCAGGTGTGTAGCATTACAGTACCCTCCTCACTAACACACTTCTCTCCCAGCTTCTATAACGCCATCATTAGGGAATTTTGAGAGCTGAGGGAGGGCAGAGAGGTAGAGAATGCATGGCAGGAAGCTGCATTCACTTGTGCCTATGTCTGGCTGTTGTATAGCATCTATACTGCCATACAAACCAAGCATTTATTTGCAACACCAGTGCAAAAAATGTACTCCACTGTGAAAACCATACAGATTGAGCAGGCAGCACTGCCTACTCTGACATAAGTGACTTTTCTGGCTCTGGGATAAAGTGTGCAAATCTAGAAAAAAAGTGTCTAACTCTGCCTTCCAGAGAGACCATATTTCACAAGCTGGAAGCCCTCAGCTGGGGAAACTTTGCTGCCATTTTGGAATATTCAAGCCCCAACACAAAAGCAGAAAGGAAATATAGTCTGATAATTACAGACTAGCTTAACCTAAGCCCTTGGAGAATCTTTTCTCTGCCATGATCTTAATGTGTGATCATGAGCAAATCACTTTAATACCACCTTCCTTTTTTTAGATTACAGCACACAGACTGCTTGGAAGTCAAATTGTATAATCATCACAATAAAAAGCAGATTAAGATATGTTCTGTGAGCTGTCTCTTCCCAAAAAGAAACAAAGTTAGATCTAGTGATATATGCAGGCTGCCAATAATTTTGGCAAATATATCCATATGTTCCACATAGCACATAAAATGTGCCTACCATCCTGTCCCTGCCAACAGAACTCCAGAGACTCAGGAGCAACTTTTTTTAAATTGTAAAATTATATCCTACAGTCCCAGCAAAAATGCTGAAATGTCAGGATTGCCCAGAGAACTAAAATTCAGCTCTCAACCAAGTTTACCAAGTACCTCTTCTTTCTTGTGCAGGCTGAGTGTCACCCAGTATGTCTTTTCTAGTTCCTTGTCTCGGGGACAGGCCCACACGCCATTTTTTCTCAAAAGAAGAGAATTCAGAGTACCACTAATTTATTCATGAAAGTGAAGCTAACATCTCACAGCACCCACTCCCAGCTTCTTGTGCAGGGAGAGAGTCTGCAAAGCAGTTGCCATTCACAGGTCTTCCACCTCTTCCCACCCCACTAGTGCTGTGTAGTGGAAACAGAACACAGGGCAGCTCCCACAGGGGACCAGGGGGCCTACTGCACATCCTCAGCACTTTGAGCTGACTAACACTGTGCATACAGACAGTATGCCCATACCATCAGTGTACCATATTACGTTTTCTATCTCTGATACTTGTCAGAGTTTGGATTATAGAAAAAGCCTCTGGAGCCAAGTGGGGAGACAGAATCTAAGAAATGTCAAGCAGAAGAGAAATCAAATAAAGCAGGGAGACATGTAAAATTTACTGAAGAACAGATCAGAAGGAAAATCAACTGGAAATCAAGAAAAAAAGAGCAGTGAGAAGCTATACATATATGGAATGAAGTTGAGAAAAGATGGGAAAAGGAGTCAAGAAGATACAAGAAATAAAGAAAAGAAGCACGAAGACACAAGGAAGAGGAGGTAGAGAGAGAAAAAAAGAGAGAGGACCGGAATGACCAAGGAGACACCAAGGATCCAAGGATGTAAACAACAGAGGACACAAGATGAGGAAAGAAATAAATTGGTGCCATAGAAAAACTGAAAAGGAAATTGAGGGAATGACTAAGCTTTTCTATCTGTGGAAAACTTTTACTTTCATTTATCTTGCACCCCAAGATCCCAAAAATGTGATCGTCCCTTTATGGCACTAACAAACTGCATAAGCCCTTACAGCAATTCTTTTCATCCATCATGTCAGGGCAGTCTGGGAAACCATCACAGATCATAGTGTGTTTGATGCACAGCTTCTTCAAAGGACACTCCCAAAGACCCCTTTCTCTACAACCTGGAGGCAGAGAAACACAGTTTTGAAACACTTGCATGCAATATCAAATCAACTGTTTTCTTCCTTAATAATCCTAAACATCCAAAGTATTTTCACTTGCAATATAAATTTTAAAAGGTACTAACGAAGAAATGGAAATAAGATTGTCACAGTGCACACTTGATAAATGGGGATAAAATATATAATACTTCTAATACTTCAATGCTTTTAAAATAATAATCTATATTATGCCACACATATCTATAAGTAATGGTTTAGGCATCAGCTAATTTAACTCAAAACCCATACACCACTACTCTTGAAATACATTTGCGAGTAATATGTAAACTTTCCTAATCCTAAAGTTTGTAGAGTGCCCTTTAAAAGCATAGCACATAGACCTTTGGTCTTTCAAAAGCAAATCCAATGACAGCATGGAATCTCCATGAAACAGTGTAGAAATAGGTAATTTTTTCTGGCAGTGCTAAAATGGAATCTAATGCAGATCACAATGAAAGGCAGAGAGATGCTGTAAAGTATTGACGACAAACAGTTTTTATGGTTCTATAATCTGAGACCAAACCAGTTTGAAAAGATGAGAAAGACCCAATGGCTGTATGAATCTTCAAGAAGGTTCATTATTATGCAGGGAACACACTGAATTATTGTCTCTTCCAAGTCCTGCTAACTAGCCTCTCTGATTTCAAGAGGAATACTTATAAAACTATGTCAAAGTGCTCTGACAGTAGAATTCCTGTTAGTCAGCTAGAAGAAATTAAGAATGGCCCAAGGTACATATTAGAAAAGTGTTTTCTCTTGTTTTACGTCATTATTTCCATCAACTAATAAAGCACTTCACTGTGACACAAGTTTAAATACCTTGACATACTCAAGTCCTGCACATCTGACATTCTGGTTTTAGAGGAAGCCATAAAGATAATCTGTTCTCCTGACTAAAACAGATGGTTTGGTTGCCTTCTTTGGCCTGTTCTATAGATAATAATACTAGTTTTCATTTTAATCCAAGCTCAAATTCAGGTGACAGCCTGTCCCCACACACAAATAGCTGAGGCACAAGCTCACAAACTGCATTTGAAGCTGCCCCTCTGTGTGCCTGGATACAGCAGCGTATCAGCAGCAAGTGACTAAGCAGATACGTTGTTTCCAAGAAGTGTTATTTCCGAAGCCAGTATTTTACAAACATGAACCAGAGAATAATTACTAGCTGATATTGTTACTGGAAAAAATCTGCTCGTGTTTTAACTTCAACTGGATGTGGGAAGTGCTTGATTTTGTTTAGATTCAAAAAGCCATGTAAATAAACGTTACAGCACAGGGAAATAAATACCCTTGAACCTGTGAAACTAATTCCACGTGATCAAAGAACTTTCTTGGGTATCACCATTTTCCAGGTCTCCTTCTTGACAATATTTGTGATAACTATTAATGAAAAATTAATTGAAAACAAACAAAACCTTTAGTCTAAAAAAGAACAAAGAATGCCAGTCATGTTTGGAACTTGATATGAAAATAAAATAAAAAAAGTTCAAAAAAATTATAATTTATGAACCTTGCAATGTAAGGTGTAAACACCTTAGCAGTGTTTATAATTCATTAAATACATGTTTGCTTTTCCCCTTCATCACATATTATAGTGTTACACTGTGAAGTGTACCATGGCTCTCCAAAATTTATCTTTGAGTACAACATAGACAAATATAGAGACAATTCCCTAGGAAAAAATCACTACTTACTGACCTCGGTGTTCAAATATACTGTTTTGTTGGTAGAAGCCATCTACCATTTGGTGTATTTATATTTCTTCTCTAAATATGTTTGTGACATACATTTTTATTTTAATGACAATGAAATGGGAGTGAAAATGGAGATAGGAAAACCTGTCCATATTTACCTTACCCCAACCTCAAACATATGTTTTGGCAAGAGATAGAGATTCACATTCATCTTTCTTTCACTCTTCTTCAAAATATGAAGCAAGTTACCATTTGTTACTCACATGTATATTCCCCATTCAATTATTATTAAGTCATTTGCATTAAGACCATCATATTTTTCTCCCAACTAAAATACTACAGTCAGAATTCAGACTGCAGAGAATAGCGAAGGACAAAACTGGATTTGAACGTTATGTCATCAATTTCTTTAGTACTCTTCTAGGACCCTCTTCTGCTCTCTGCCAGAGGCCCTGTTCAGCAGCCAGTAAATTAATATGATCAATTACAATCAAGCATATTTAATACCACAAACTCTCTTGATGTCTATCATAATAACAATTTTCAGAAATTACTGTTGTGGTTTAACCCCAGCCAGTAACTAAGCACCATGCAGCCACTCGCTCACCCCTTCCCTTGCCCAATGGGATGTGGAGGAGAATGGAAAAAACCTCATGGGTTGAGATAAAGACATTTTAATAGGATAACAAAGGGAAAAGTACTAGTACTAGTACTACTACTACTACTAGTGATGCACAAATGCAGTTGCTTGCCACATGTGGAAAAAAAAAAACAACCTGATGCCCAGTCTGTTTCCAAGCAGCAATCCCATCTACTGGCTAGCTTCCCCAGTGATATGCTGGGCATGATGTTATAGGGTAGGGAATATCCCTTTGGCCAGTCTGGGTCAGCTGTCCTGGCTCTGCTCTCCCAGCTCCTTGTGCACCTGGCAGGGTGTGAGAAGCTGAAAAGTCCTTGACTTAGTGTAAGCACCACACCTACCCAGCAACAACTACAAACATCAGTGTATTATCAACATCATTCTGGTACTAAATCCAAAACACAGCACTATACCAGCTACTAGAAAGAAAATTAACTCTATCCCCACTGAAACCTGGACAATTACCTTCCTCACACTTTACTGAAATGCACTCAGACGTCTCACATTCATAAATCTGGCTCAGATTTTCTCACCAAATCCTAGTCTAAACGGCACTAAAGTCTTACGATTTTGCTGCAATTCAATGGGTGAGATTTCCTCTCAGAAAGATCACGTGAAAGTATGACTGGGATTCGTAACAGGAGGAGACAGTGGGTGCTGAGTACGGCTCTACTCTGCCTGGGCAGAATATACCTTGGACTGTTTTACCTTATTGGCCAGAGTAGCTTGACCATCCAAAAGCTGTAACTAGTCTTTTCCAACCTCTCCTCCTCCTTGCACTGTGAAGTTGTTCAATGTCTGCCATTTAAGGCACTTCAAATACAAGAGTTTTAATTTAAAAGCTGATTGTTATTTGATGGTATAAAACCAATTTCAAAGGTTAAATCTAATAAAATGTGAGCTAGCCATTTACACATGGAAAGATCGTCAAGGTTTGATTTTGTCCTGCACACATGGAATATGAATGAGTCAGAGACAGTTACTTCTGGAGCTCTGCAAGGACTTTCTGTTCTTCAGTAACAGTATTACCCCTGGTCAATGTAATGTCACTCTGACAGCGGTAATTTCCTAGCAGATACAGTCTTCCATATTTATAGAAACTGATAAGAATTCTGCTGATTGCTAGTGACATTCTGTCTAGACTATAGAGACAGAGAGAGATCCACTCGAGAAATGAATGTTATATATTAAAGCAATATTTCATATGTTAATGTCTAGGAGAATAAAATTATTATAGCAATTAGTGGTGTAAGGAGTTAAGAACAAGTGGCAACAAAGAGTATTTGGCAGGGAGGACAATTGAGACAATTAATTCAAAGGTAAAGATATGACAAACTCTGAAAGAGTCACTGTGATCATCAGCTCTGCCTTTCCTTTATAATCCGAACAAGAGAATGACCTAGTATTCAATCCTGTTTCAGCGAGCTTTTTTTTTTTCTTTTTGCTTTCCTTCTGTGAGGTGGGGGCAGCAGAAATGGGGGAGAAAGAAGAGAGAGAATACAAGTGTGACTGGAAAACTCCAAGAGATTGACAATACATCGCATCTTAGTGATAAATAACCCCTTGGTTACTCCAATCATTAAAACAACCTGCTCTTAAAAAAGAAGCATTTTATAGAGCTGTCAAGCTTGAATTTTAGCCTATTCACGGCTTCACCTTTGAGGTGTTGGATCTTATTTTATTTTTATGCAGCTGAGTAGAAAGTCTTTTATTGACACAGTTTTGTTGCTCATATAAATTGTCCTTCCATCTTAACCTACTCTCCATAAAAAAAACAAACAGGTTGTGCACCATAGCCCTATTCTGCTGGAATGTTTTCCAATCCTTTACTCATATTCACACATCTTCTCCAAATCCTTAGCGGTTTATAATTATTCTCTTTGCCCCCAGGGATGCCAGGCCAGCATGCAGAACTCCACGGAGGCTACATCTTAGTCACATAAAGAAAAAGTGTATCTCACTTCTCCTCAAAATTCTCCTGCCTGCATATACAAGGATAAATAGTGACCAAGAGATTTCTTGGTTATTCTTAAGCTCAATACATCCCCCTAAGTTAAAAGTCAAGAGCATCTCTACCATAACTAAACTCAGAAATATACTGGAGAATAAATTTTGTGTTTACCACTTTATCCTTGTACCTACAGCTTGAGGTTGACCAATCTGAAAAAAAACATGTAATTCTTGACCCTTACAGTATAGAACCCACTTCAGCAACACAGCTCTTTTGTCAATACATCATAATGAGAACATTAATGTGTATAAATTTAAAACTATATTTATGACTTCTAGATTTAAACTGCCAGGAAGTCACATTTTAGCTCAGTAGAACGTCCAGCAATATCAAAAGAATTAAATCTGCAGCATTTTTTATCTTGATTACTAAAGGAATACTCAAACATTCTGGAATATGGTTAGCAGCATCTAAACGATCAAATGTCATAAATTGTGTTGACATTAACCAAAAAGGAAGCTTGCTAAAGTATTTTTACTGCCACTAGTCTTACAAAAAAACCCAAACCCACCCACTTTCAAACATATTTTTCTTACAGAGAAAGGGGTGTATCCTTGAACCGTCATGCTATGGTTCCAATAACTGAAGGAAAAACAAAAGTCATTTTCTAATGACTTTAACTACTCTCCACTCAAAAGATCCAACTCATCGAATTTATTTACCGCAGCTGTCCTCATCACTATCATCCTCACAGTCAGCTTGACCATCACATCTTCTGGATGCCAGGACACACCTCCCAGAACGGCACTTGAAGTGACTGGGTGAGCATTCTGTCAATGACAAGGAACAGGGAGAAACAAGACTCCTTAAGCTGCAAGCTTAATCATCACATGGGTACTTATTTATCACTGTGACTGTTTCAGAAGGGCAAATGACAGGAATAGAAAGCTTGTGTGATACTAAACTGGAACTATGCAGCAGGCAAGACTCAACAATTGCACTGTGAATGAGGTGGAACAATATTTTCCAGAGCTCTCCCTCACATGCTACCCTCTGTTGAATTTCAAAGCTTTGCCAAAAAACTGGCATACAATGTTTAGATTGTGGGCAAGGATTTTCTAGCTACTTTCCTCACTGTTGTGGCATTATGTGAAAGCAGAAACAGATCATCTGATGTGCTGAAATGTGTATAAGAGATTCCCAGGATTAAAAAAAACATAAAATTTCTGCAATTGTGTGGCTATTTGGATTAATAAAACCACCTATAAATGTCCACTAATAAACCCTTACATCGCTTCTGTCTCAGCTTAGAGACTACCATTTTGAGAAAGCTTTATTTAGATGGTTTTGAAAAACCTACCCATTTTTTTCAGTGTACATGCCACTGACTTTGATGTACAACCTCCATCATATGTTGCCTTTTTTTTTTTTTTCCTTCCTGCAAAATCTCTCCAATACTTGATACCATGCAGTTCCTTGGGTGAGTTTTAGGATTCAATAAACAGTTGTACCAAAAATATCATCAATGAACTTGAGAGCCTTAGAAAATAACATTCCAATGATAAAAGGTGAAAGTATATGTGAACTATACTGCCAACATTTAAGAATAACTCATTATGTAAATAACCAAGTTTACAATGCATACTGTCTTGGCCAGCAGTATTCTTTGATTCAGCACTGACTGGAAGAGAAGTTAAGCAATTCAGCACATTGTAATAACTGTCAAATATAGCTTAAGTTGGAAAATCACCTGTATTTTGTAATCATAAACATTTAAATGCTCTTGGAAGCTTAATACATTTTGTTACATGTGGGTTTTTCCAGCAATATTTATGTAAGATTTAAACTTCCCAGCGAAGACTTTCTAACTAACATTAGTAGTCAGTAGAAATCCGGCATTGAATCAACACAAAATTCTAGCAGTAAGTGAACCCAAAACTCTGATAAGACTCCTTAATTAGTTTTTAAAAGAATACTAAAACCCCCTCCTTTTTTATTGATTTTCCACGAATATCTATTTCAGTGCTAAAATGAACAATAAGCAGTGAATCAACTTACTAGGCAGAGTCCCTCTAATTAAAGTGAGAATTTTTTTAAATTATATTTTTTATAAGTGAACAGAACTTATCTCTAGAAATGGAACACACTAGTCCTGTATACGGTAGCATATTTAAAATATAACCATCCTATGTTACATTTCAAAGCCAAATGATCTCATAACACAGGGAGGAAGGTTAAAAGACATTTGATACCTGAGAAAATTAAATCATGTTATTTTTCTTTAACTCACCTTGTTGTGCCAAAATCTTACTTTTCCTTTCCTACACACTGCTGTGTAATAATGGATAATTCCCTTTCATCAGCCCATTGCTGTAGAGGGAAATTATCTCCTTGTCTCCCAAGAGTCCCACAACAGTGGATTTCATTACTACAGTATTACATGTCTTTATAAAATCCTTACAATGATATATGTGCACATGGACTTTGCTTGAAGAAATAGTACTAACTGCTATGTATGCTTCACTGTTTTCTCATGATTCCTTCACTATATTCACAGCAATACATTTTCATTAAAAGAACTATAGACTAACTAGCTTTCTCTGAGCAAGATCAAGGCTGTGGAAAGGCCGTCAGCACCATGTAGGTGAGTAGGAGGAGAAGAGTGAGAACTGAACACTATCAGTGTATTGCAGGCACTGCAGCACATGCCATCTCACTATTTTCCCAGCTACTTTACTGGCTTTTTGGCAAGAAAAAGAAAAAGCATGTGGGGATCCTCACAAATCTCACATCCGATGACCACTGCAGAAGGAAAAGCTGCACAGCTTCTCTCTTCATACATATAAAGAATATCTAGAAGCATTTAAGGCAATTTCATTCTTTTGTTCCATGTTCACAACCACAATGATTAGTATTATGGCTGAACTCAAAAACTGAAATCTGTCAGTTGCTACTGAAGTTGGTTTGGCACAACTCTCTACAAAACTTTCCCTAAACAAAAACCACGAGCAAAAAATAGCTGGCAAAGATACTAACATTACAATATTTTTCTCAGAGCTGTCATGGGGCTTAGCTTTAAGATTACTAAGAGTCTGCCTCCTAGTTAGAAAAGCATTATTATATCATCTAAATAGGTAAAAAGTGAAGTATAAACACAAGCAAGCAGTAGGTGTGGTGTTAGCAACAAATCTCAAACACTGACTTTCACAGATTGAAGGTAATTGATCCTTCCTTCGAATAAATTTCTTATGAGAACTTCCTCTTATATGCAAACTGTAGGTATCCAAATTCTCTGAAACCCAGTTTAGAATAATTTCCACAGTTTAAATATTTTAATTTAAAGAAGAGATATGGGGGGAAAAAAATCAGTGGGAACTTTGGGAACCTAATTAAATCTTTAATTTCCTTTTAAAGGTATTTACAGGAGTTACCTTCTACATCTTCATCTGGTGTTAGACAAGTTTGGTTGTCTGAATTCTCATCTGGAAACTGAGTGCAGTCAGTATCTTCTGGCCACTGCAGACCTACAATCCCAAGCACAGACTCACAGCGTTCCTTAGACTGTACACATAATGTCCTGAGGAGATAAAGTGGAATTACACAAAGTAACTGAGTGAAAGTCTTAGAAATTCCCAGTTATTGGAAGTTAATAATCCTAGCCAAAGTTAAAGACAAAGATGAAGGAAAAATCAGCTAATCAGTTTTCTTTACATGAGAAAAAAAGATATCAAAAGATATGTTGCTACTGTTGAAACATTATTTTAAGTTACTGTATGCAGACTACTACCTGAGTTATAACATAATAGCCAAACATAATGACTTACAAACATCCTCTCCTCTGTAAGGAATGGCAGAAAGCCTTTTTTAAGAAGCACTACCTGCCCTCCTTCAGTAAAAAAACATCAAATACATTTTGTACCAGTGAAATGCTACCTCAGAAAACATGTGATTTCAGAAGGACAAAATATTTAAACCTGTAAACAAAAGAGCCAAAAACCCTCCAGGTAATTCAATAAATTTAAAAGTTTGGGGAACATCAAAGCACAGATCAACCAAGTGTTAAGGATGTTTGCAGTTAGAGCGGCAGAAGCTTGTATCACACCTGGAAAAAGGCATGAATAAAGTCCTCCTGCTGCTTTTTTTTTTTTTTTTTTAACATAGAACGACAGGACTTATGACACAAAATTAGTTCAGTCCATCTAGATTAATACCTTGTCTCTCAAAATACCCAATGTCAAATGCTTCAGAAGTAGAAAGAGAAAATGCATAATAGAAAAATCCCCTTTTGTTTTAAGCATTATTTTAACCTTTAGCAACTACTTTTGCCTGGAATCATAGCTGATGTGCCGTTCGATACAATAGTCTTGTCTCGTACCTGTCGTATTTTGAATCCCTTTGTTTCAACTGACTCTTTTTTTTTTTATTTTATTTTTGTGGAATATTAACTAGACAGTATGGGATTAGGAACCTCAACATCCGTTTCATCCCTTCCCCCAATCAGAAATCACACTTAACAGATATTTGTCTAAGCTGTTCTTAAAAACTCTTCAGTTAGCAAGATTTCTTATACTTCCTTATCACTCATTCTCATACACAGATATCTATTCTTTTCCTTATCACTGACCTATAGCTCTCCTGATGTACTTTAAATCCATTGCTCCCTGGTTTAACCTCAGTGAACATAGTGAACTATTTATTTATTTTCTCTCAGAAGCTCACTTTTACCTATTTGAAGTCTATGATGTCTCCCTAAGTCTTCTCTTGTTTCTAGACTCAGCAACTCATTTAATTGCACCTTTTAGATCATATTTTCTAAACCTATAATTATTTGGACTTTCTCTCACTGTTTCAAAGAAAATTCTCCTTTGTTCTCATATAGGTTGAAAAATATTCAACAGTAGGATCCCACCCATTTCTATTTTTTTCCATTTCCTTCATGCCACTTTCAACTTGCCTTTTATTTAATTTTATTAATTTTTCCAGATCTTTCTTCTAGGAACAGACACTTCTTTCATGGAAGGTTTTGTATTACATTCATATTCCTTTGATCTTTCGACCAATGGACCTTTTTTTTTTTTTCCCCCTGCAGTAAGTTGCAAGAAATGCAGTGACCAAAACCAAGCAAACAGATCCATTTAGGATCAATTATTTTATGCTCTTTTGAGAAAACAATACATTGTTAATCTTCTCAAATTTAATTTTGTTTTGGGGGATTGCATGAAGAAGAGTCAATGTTTTTCTGCACCAAATGATTCACCATTGAGTTGAGGAGCTGGAAGGACTGACTGAATGGATTGACATCAGTTAACCATGATACAGTTACAGACTCTCTTTCCTTTTAGATCCTCCTCAAAATCAAAAAGGTTGACTCACATCACTTTATAACCTCAGCTTTCTGAATGCCAGAATTTTTATTTAGCAATGATAAAAACCCAAAACCAACAATAATAATATGATGAATAAATTTTAAAAATTTAATTTTGTTAGCTGAGATATCCATGCCATTTATGGCCTATGTTCTCTGCACATTCAAATCGTTGGCCAAAGCTGACCCTTTCCAAAAGCTACTGCAAGCCATTTAGTTGTCAGTCTGTGGTGAAAGAATTAAAATGTAGGTAATCCTCAAAGTCGTGCCCATCACAGTGCATATGGAAGCCTATTGCAATACGGCTAGGAAAATGGGAAGAGAATTGGTATTTTTTTCTTTTTTAAATCCTTCCCACATTCCCATATCGAGTCTCACAGTTGGGGTATCAGAATACCTTGGTATCACTTCTTTACTTCTCAGTCAAACCTCATCAGTGGTACTATGAATCAATCTACAAGTTAACAGTTCACAAGAGTACACATCACAAAGCAGAGGAATCTCCCCCTTCTTGGTAGGAGAAAGAAATACAAGGTAAAAAAAAAAAAAAAAAGGTAGCATAGAAATGTGTCATTTTCTGCAATGGAATTCAATCTAGCACTTTCTTAAGAACATTAAGCATATTTAGGAGTTAACTAAAATATCTCTTTACTCTCCCAATTCAAATACAGTAATGGGATGCCTAAACTGATGCCAACACATAAGAGGCAGGAGATTTGACCAGGATTATTCTTCAGACACATCTGTCAAGTTTTGAAACAACACCAAAGTCATCTGGAGATCACTTAAATACATAGATAGTGTAATCTCTATGTCATTATAGGCTAATGTGACTAGGAAAGCATTTACTGGTCCCAAAATAAGGGACACTGACAGACTTACTGGAATGTTGTGAGACCCCGAATCTCCAGAAGCTGCTCAGCACCTTGCAGAATCAATTCACAGCAAAGATAGTTTGCAATTATAAGGAAACAGGAATTTCTGAGCTTATTCCATATGTTCTTCATCTGTGTAACTCCATTTGTCCTCAGTGGGAACCCATCACACCCTTAACGTCAAAGATTATTTCACCAGATCTGGACTAATATTACCAATGCCTTATCAGAGATGAATAATATTGTTCAGAATTTGAAAACATACTTGATATCAATGAATGGCCTCAATAACAGCAAAATCAGTTCTTTCAAAAAAACCCTCTTCACCTGTGTTCCTTATTTTGGACAAAATTTCATGAAGACTGTTGTAGTTAAAAAATAAAGCATGACAGTCAAACAAATAACACAAAGACAATGAAAAGCCTTGCAAAGCAGGGACAGATATTTTATACAGAGAGAGTAGAATTAATATTGTTTAGTTATATCACCTAGAACGAAAAGATCAGTGAGCCAGTATTAAAAAATCTTATACGACTCTGATGGGTATATTTTATAATAGATGCAGAATTATAACATGAATTTGCAATTCATGGTTGGCAAGCCTAACACTGAAAAACTGCATTAGCTGAACTCCATTTCATATTTACAGGAAAACACAGGTAAAGCAATACCTATGTCCTGTTAAGCTCAGCTAATGACTGATAGCTTTGAACAAAAGGGCAGTTATTTTGAAAATGCAATTGAAGCAGATTCTCAGAACATAATTTCTGTGCTCAGATATAACATTTTTCCTTCTATGAGCTTCAAACTGTAAAGTAGATTTATATCTATATTGATATATCAAATGTATTTAATTTTTTTTCTGCCCTACATTTATCAGTTAATTCAAGAGTTTATTGGTATGAGGCTATGTGTGTTTTCATTTCTAAAACATTTTTATGTTTTTACATTATATCTGTGTCTGAAATTCTTCCTAAAATGTTACTGAAGGCAAATACTACAGATCTCCATGGGACCCTCCAAGGTATCCCTTCCTGATAAAATCACTCTCTACTGGTGATCTAACATAAGAGCAAAACTCGAAAACAGTTATAAAAGCAGAGCTTTGAATCCTGGGATTTAAAATTTTATGTTGTATATTCAATCTGATCTAAATGTGATGTTATCCTGCTTTGAGCAGGGAGTTGGACCAGATAACTTCCAGGGGCCTCACCTTCTGCACTGTGTGCAGTTCTGGGCCCCACAATTTAAGAAAGATGTGAAGGACCCTGAATGTGTCCAGAGGAGGGAAACAAAGCTGGTGAAAGGGCTGGAAGGCGTATCCTATGAGGAGTGGCTAAGGACTTTGGGCTTGTCTAGTTTGGACAAAAGGAGTCTGAGGGGTGACTTCATTGCTCTCTACAGCTTCCTGAAGAGGGGAAGTGGAGAGGGAGTTGTTGTCTCTGCTCCCTGGTATCCAGTGACAGGATGTGTGGGAACAGTTAATAGCTGCGCCAGGGGAGGTTCAGACTGGACATTAGGAATCATTTATTTACAGAGAGGGTGGTCAAACACTGGAACAGACTTCCTAGAGAGGTGGTCGATGCCCCAAGCCTGACAGTGTGTTAGAGGAATTTGGACAATGACCTCAATAACATGTTTTAACTTTTGATCAGGCAGTTGGACTAGATTGTAGGTCCCTTCCAACTGAAATATTCTATTCTATTCAATATATACATTTTAAGAATTATTGAACTGCTATTCCTGTCCTTGTTTTGAATACTTCAGATACTAATCACATGTGTAATGAACTGCATTTAATGATCTTATAAAATATGGTTCTCTACCTTTTGCTATGGAATTCCAAAGCAAAATTTCTGGCACTTTCAAAGGAAACAGAAAATTGGGAAAGACTAATATGACAGACAATGTCAGTCAAGAATTAAATGAAGTATAGCATAGTACCTGCAAGGTGGGATCCGCTGATTTGTATGGGGGTCACATTTTGGTACTAAGATTGTACAGGCAAAGAACATAAGGTACTTGTAGCAGTTGGTCTGAACCAAGGCTGGGAAAAGAGAAGACTCCCAGCTGATAGAGGCTTCCTTCTGCGTCCTGTGGCCCAGGTAGTTTGGGTAATAAGTATAGTTGTAAGGCAAGTTCATACAGAGTTCCAGAGTAATTGGTTCACACTGACCTTTCACAGAAAGAAAACAACAACAACAAAAAAGGAAACAAAAATGGTGTGAGATTAAATTAAATACAGAAGTAATAATCACATAAGTATTTAACATATTTATCAGTCGGGATTTCCTCTTAGGCTTGAGAAGCTACCAGTTTCAGAGCTCAAGAACCCATATAAGCCTATTCATACCAGTAAAGAAAGGTGGGTTTGACCTCAGCCTACCTAATAATCTATTCAGAGACTTATACTCCCTTTACTAATATGCATTAACTTCCCAAGTAACATATTAACTTTAACATGGTACAATAAACCATTCTTTAAAAACAGATTTATTATTTTCAAATCAAGTTTCTGATTATTTTCAGGAGCTCCTGTACCGTACAGCAATACACTTACTACTGGTGTACTATGCTACCATAACAAACTTCATACTGCCAATTAAGACAACTGGGATCATAGGATACTTTGGGTTGGAAAGGATCTCAGGAGGACTCTAGTCCAACATCCTGCTCAAAGCTTGGTCAGGTGTGAGGACTGATCAGGTTTCTCACAGCTTTATTCAGTCAGGTCTGGAAAAATCTCTAATGACAGAGATTGCACAATTTCTCTGTATAGAAAACAGAAGGCAGGATTTATATTTATTTTTTTTTTATCCCAAGATCTAAAGGAAGAATGAGGAAAATTAGCTTATGTATGTCACAAACACTAAGAGATAGTCTAAATGCTAATAATTTAATTCAGGTAAGATATAATTGATAATAAAGAGAATGATAAGCAAGAGCAAAATAAATGCAATAGCTACAAGTCCATATGATTACAGACTATAGCTATATACAAAAATCATACAGCATTTATCACAACATGTATTGAACTGACTATTTTGGACTTAAAAAAAAATGCACAGCTTTTGTATTGTATCCCAATTTGGTAGTCAGAAATATTTATTTTTCAATTTTCCACCACAACAGATAGTGACAGAATTTCACTACAATTCAGACTGAAATTCAGATTTTTATTTAGCATTGAGACCAATGTGAAATTATTTAAATTTATTTACTTTTGGAATATGAGAAAATTTTCCATGGAAAAGTGTACTTATTCAAAAGTCATTTGTTATCAAAAGACTGCATATATTTGCCTATTCTGGAAGCAAATGCATCTTAACATGATTAATATTCTCAACTAGCCAGTTGCTAGTATCAGTTGCTAGCACAGTGTGGCAACTGTGTGATCATATAGCTGGATCTTTGAAAGCAAGTTGAAAGAAGATCCAACAGTCAATTATTCAGCTGATCAGCAAAACTGGCCAGTTTTTCTTGGACTGGTATTCCCTGTTATAAGCTCTTTTAGTATTTACCTCTAATCTGAGGATCACGAAGCTCATTTTATATACAGTTTTTCCTCTCTGCTAAATCCTTGCACACTGCCAATACTGAACTATTTCTGTTGTCTCAAACCACTTAGTCCCAGCTTTGAGGTATATGAGGTTCAAAGACCTCAACAATCCTCCCCACATTACTGCCATTTCCTTTTCTTCATGATGAGCTCTCCCTTGTCCTCCCACACTTCAGCCCCAGATGCCCGATCAGTTTGGTTTTGTCTTTTGATTTTTTCCCCAGTATGCATCTTTTCTTGATGTGTACAGAATATTACATGTTCATCAGTATTTCATGATGAAACCTGAGTAAATGAACACAAAAATACACAGTGTTCTAAGTGTTTGTATAATGTAACATTATTTAAGACTAAAGGCTAGAAATGCACATATATCATTCTCTCTTTTGTTATGCCTCATATTTATAGGGGTTTAGGTGAATTCTGGAAGAAAATCTAGTCCACTGAAATGCCCCTGTAGCATAGCTCTTTACATGTTTTCAATGCCATTACAATTTTCACACCGTGTTTAGAAAGTTTCTCTCACATTATGTGCAAAAGTGTCATTGTAGGTTTGAAAAGAATAACTCTTACTCTCACACCCAATTCCCTACAATCCACAAGCAGAGTAACAAACAAAACACACACTACAGGGGAACAGCTGACTGAATTTTAGTAAGTTAAATGCTAATCTTTCCTTTTGATGTCTGACCTACAGTTTAAGACATCTTGCTACTCCCTTATTTATAGAATATGTAAGTACAACCTAATGAGTGGGGAACAAGGAATAAAATTTACTGCATCTTTTACCCTAAAAAAACCACCAAAAAACCAAACACTTTATGCTTGGGTTTAATATCTTCATGCATTTATTATTAACTTGCTCTACTTACTATATATGAACCACAACATCTCTGGGCAACCCATGTTCAGTCACCTTCACATTAAAAAAAAGTGTTTCCTTGTGTTGAGAGGGAACCTTCTGTGTTTCAGTTTGTGCCCACTGCCTCTGGTCCTGTCACTGATCACCCAAATAGCCTGGTTCTGTGTTCTTTACACTCTCCCTTCAGATATTTGTTCTGTATCCTAAATATGTTGTAAATGCATTATAATGCCAGCCTAAACTGATCAGACATGATCACACATGGAGAATATCCATCATATTCAATATTGTGAAATGTGGCTTATGCTTTGGAATTTTCCAACCAAAGAGTTATTTGGGCCAGAAGATACTGCTTTGTCAAAACTGAAATTTTCCATGGCAATTCTCATCTCTTACCAAAGATTAAATAACTCTGGTCAAAATATGAAGAGGTAAAATAACATGAAAAAAGAGAATAGTTCTTCCAAATATTATGCAAGAAAAATGTCTCCCAAATTGTCTTGCTGTTCCATTGTGTATAAACAATTAAATACTCACTGGACCAGAAAGGGAGAAAGAGATGATCCAGAAGTCTAATTCAGATTACGTCTCACTCCTGTTGAGTATTATGGACCGTTGCCCATAATATGATGAGGAAATATCTTCAACTAAAAAGCTTTGGAACATTGTTTTAGAACTCAAATATCACAAGTCAAAAAATGTTTTTCACTATCATCTCGTAACATAGTCCTAGCCACTCAAATGTTTTCCAAAATTGCTGTCCATATATACAATGGGATACAAAAATCTGCATTGATCAGGAAAAGATTTTGGACCACAGGACAAACTGCTTTGGACCACAGTAAATCTCATACTGATTTATTCACAAGGAAGATGAGTCCAAGAAAGTAAGTTACACTTTTAAGCTCCCTCTTATTGTGAGAAAGACTGAATTGCAGTCACACTGCTTGAAAGACTGTTGCCTCTTACAGGACTATAGGCACTCTTTATAAAAGGTAATTTGCTTGAGAGAGAACTGCTCCCTGAGTATATAAGAATGAGAGGCCAATGTGGGAATTTACCTATTTTCCTACCTGTTGGGAAAGGCTGCTGCTGGTGCCCTGTTTGCCAGCCAAATAGAGGACCTGTCTTATGCACAACTGGTGACTACACAGCCATCAGCTGTGAGTGCAGTGTTGATTCTGCCACAATATATCAGACACGTTTTATGTATTCTTTACTAAGCAGTTTACATTATAAGTATTTAAAAGTAAAATTACAAAATACTGACTTTTTTTGACCTGAGTAAAAAGTTGTGCTTTTTTTTCTTGCTATAGTTTTAAACATCTACAACAGGGTTTAGTGTAACACCTGTTAAATTTTAGAAGCATGAGTAAAGAAGCTTTGAAACAGCTTCTTTGAAACAAGTCCTTGTTCCTTGGTAAACCGCAGTTTTGTGGCAGAGTCAGTAATGCTTAAATAAAAGAGCTGAATCATCAAATGGAGAAACTGAGAAGCAGCACCTGTTCTTAGAGGCACTGGCTGCTAAAGCTGCTGCTTCTCCTGCAGGCAGAGAGATCTGGAACTAAATATCCTTCACTCCCATGAGCCTTCAGCCCACAGAGTATCAATCTTATCATACACATTTAAGCTCATGACTAGCTAGAGTGGGTAGTGAATAATTATATGTCAATGAATACTCATGTATTCTGACCTTAAGACACCAGGAAAACATGACCTTTGAATCTCACCAAAAACAAGAAAAGATCACTTGAAGAATTGTTTTCTTTGGAGATGCCAGGTACAGCT